TCACAAGTTTCACCAGAGTGGGACTTGTAAATCGAAACCAGTGAAGCAGCGAAAGTGCAAAATGCCCCTCGAACCCGGTCGCCGAACTGCGCTATGTTCCCCCTTCAGTCGCCAACGCCACAGAATTACCATACAACATACAATCACTATCTATGATTGTACGATAGTTGAAGTTAGCAGGTAGCGTTAGCAGCCGATTGGTGACAACACGCACCACCCTTGGCACGACGGCAGTTTTTTGGAGAAAAATTAGAAAATTTCTTAGAAAAAAGATAGGTAGTTGGAAAAACTTGGGAAGATGGTAGGTAGGATAGGAAAGAGGGGTCGAACCAGATGAGGAATTTGGGCGAAAGGGTCGTACTGACAATGCCATTCCACACATCACGATACTGTACCCTGGGCAGCCATGTCTAGGCAATGGTCGGCTCATGCACATCTTTGTGTTTACCCGTATCAACACTTAAAAGTAGCGAGCCTGTTGATTTTATCTGTCCATCAGAGCCGTTATCAATCTTGATCGATGTCGTCAAAAGTGGCTAGCTTGAAGTCGCCAAAATTCCTTCTGATATCTCGTGACAACGCCTTCATCTCTTCAATGGCCAACCCTTCGTTGTCCGACTGCATCTCGTACTCATTCTCATAGCCAATCGAGTGCACTGATTTCCACCTAAAATTACAAGCGTTTAATGTAATAAGTTAAAAAATAAGTTGAAGCGCGTTCATACTTCGCGATTCAACCGCATGGGTCGCGCGATCGATCGCGACTGGGCCGCGTTCATTCAATTCCTAAATTTGCCCAGATTGAATTCTGCCGTTGTGGCGATGAACCGTTTGGCGGCAGGGTGCTCCGAACGTGGTCACCATCAAAACGGTCGAGCGAACCTATCGCGCGACCCGAGCGATCGAGTCGCGAAGTATGAACGCGCTCTCAAGGAGCTTCTCTAGTTGTAACTCTCAAAGTTATACTAAAGGTTTCTGCTGTTTGGCTAAAAAAACCCAGATATAATTGTAAAAGAAATAATCACACAAAAGACCCTGGATATTTTCATTCCCGCCTTTAGCTTTAGACAATGGAGTAAAATAACAAGTGATTTCCAAAAAAATAGGCATACCTCAAAGGATCGAGGTCTATACTGCTAGCAAGACTGCTGCACTGGGACTCTGTATCGCCTTCATCGCCCTTTGAACGTATTCGCCAACGCCGTCTTCGTTTCTTGTCTCGAGATCTGAGTTGCATCATTGCTGACGTGTGACGTAAAATTATTGCATATAACGGCACTGTTCGGCTTGGAGGGGGCATTTTGCACTTTGGCTAGTTCCTTTTGTTAGTTTATATTCCCTAGCACAACACTTCGGTGTCGTCTGTACACTTCTGCGAAGCTGCAAAATCGTTCGAAGTAAGTCACTTTGGTCACACGAATTTGCCACCTCCTCACAAAGGGCGCTGTAAACAGCTGAGGCCTTTCAGTACTATTCCGTGACATCCCACAAGCCAAACTGCTGCTCTGTAATAGTTCCCCAGTAAATACCGGACGTTCCGCCAATTCGCGTTCGGTTTCGACGTCGACAACGCAGGCTCAGACTCTGGCCATTGTCGTATTCGGTATGACAGGCAGAAGACATCGCACGATTTACGGACTTCAAAGAGCCGAAAGCTGTGGGGAACGGCCGATATCTGAATGTTCCTCAGACTTTGGTAATATTCTAAGAGTCTTTCCACTACATATTTCATAGATGGGGGAGGCGTTGCCACTCATTCGCGGACTTGGTTGTAGGATTGTGTTTTTTTTATCCTTCACCGCAGACAACTGCCAGTTCTATCTAGGCTGGAGAAGTACGGCGCTACCGACTGCTTCCAAAGATCAAAAATAACTGCCAGCGCAGCGAGCACCGCCATGTTCGAATGAGAGGCACGCCAGCCCGACGCCCCTCCCACCCAGATCATATGTTCGATAAAAATATATTGAAAATGAGGTGTCTTACTCCAATGGCTTGATATCAGCAAATTCGCCATAGGCATTCAGTTCTTGCAGCATTCGATCGACTCGATTTGCAGCCGCCTCAAGTCTTTCGGCGGACTGATCCTACAGCGAATCGTCGATAATTCGCTTGAACTTCTCCCTATCAAACAATAACGAAACCTCGGCAACAGCTTAAGCTCTGAGCGATGAAAATACTACTAGAGGAAAGCTCATGATTCCTGCAGAGTTCGCGGAGTTTGGGGAGTCACACACGTTCAGGGAGTCACACACCTTTGAAAGACCAACAAACGTGTGTGACTCCCTGAACTTCATAAGGATAAACCATCAGACCACACTGGGCCTTCACCGGGTTTCGGCAAAGTGGCACATAGAGGCTCATGCCACGAGAGAATCCATTTACTCTGTTAGCTAAGGTCAATATAAAAACAATAACATTACAAACAGTACTGGATCCTACTCTGAAGCAGTGCACACGATGGCTGGGGGCGGGCGGCTTACATACCAACGTCATTGGCGGGAAGGGCTGAAGCAAAAGCCCGTATCGAGCTCTTCCACCACTGCCGTTGGCAGTGATCCCGCTGCCTTTGAGATATCAGTTAAACATCACAGAAAAACGTACCCGTTTCAGCCACGAAAACGGATGTCGCAGCGACGACTTTGAGCCTCCTTGACGACGCTGTCTTCCTGAAAGGAGAAAGCTAGAAAGAAGCCTTATTATAAGCAGATTTAGTACAGTCTGGTAGAGCCCGACAGGACAGGATGGACATGGAGTAAACGCTGCATACCTCGACTTCCACGACTCGGTGCCCGGCTATCCTGCTCGGACCAGTCGGAGTACTGACCAACGTGGTCGCTCTTGTAGTTGTCAGAGAACCTTTGCGCTGACGCACTATCCACTTGGTATGGTTCTCTGGAAGCCACTCGATTTGTCACAGAGCTTTGAATTTAAAACATTGAAATTAAGTTATCTAGGAAATTCCAAAACCAAAAACTTCCTAAGGACTTACCGATATGGATTGTAGTCCGATGCTCGATAGTTGGTACGCAACGGAATTACCGGTTCACGTGGATGGTACCCTGACGTGGACTGGTGCATCAACGCCGTCTCCGGAGTAATCCATTCTACAACACTCTATTACAGTTTAAGATACAGGTTGTGGTCAGTACCGCCAAAAATTTCGCGTGAAATGAACTGTACCGTTTCGCGAATGCACACAGCGGGGCAAACGTTTAAATCATTTTTGTCGTGCGACCTTTCATGTGCCTTGTACCCACAGAAACAGGGTAACACCTCTTCATACCAGTTAGGCGTGATAAACTCACCGATATCACTGTCGGTCTCACCACCTCCGTCAATAGACTGCAACTCAGATGAGAACGACGATGCCATCGAAGAGGTCATTTGTAACTGAAACTGGTGTAATAATAATAAGCGACACGCGGTTCTATTCCACCGAAACCGCTGAAGGCTGAAAGCTTCAGGGAAGGGGACGCTGTTCGGCTCGGGAGGGTCACTTCGCACTTACGGTAGTTCCTTTTACTAATTCATATCAAGTAACAGGTCATATGCTATTAAGACCTATAAACTCTTGTAAAGTTGCGAAATGGCACAAGTGAGCCACGTTGATTACAAGAATTTACAGGTCTTCACAAGGTGGCCTGCACAGGCTTCGTATGCCCCCTTTGTCGCCCCCACCAAGCCGAACTGCCAGGGAATCGGTAGTACTCACGTCGATGTTATGCGCTGCTTCGAACATGTTCTTAATATGGCGTTCTTGTTCCTCTCGTGGCATTGATTCGACCGGCATTGATTCGACCGGAGAATGGTCCTCCCTACTGTAGAGGATGTAGGCGTTAAGATTTTGAATCACCTGAAAAATAATCAGTCAGTACCATTCAATCCACGAACAACTCTTCATTAATTTCGGCCTTAAGGACAGTGGGAACGATGGCTGGGGCGGGCGGTTGCTGCCAACGTCATTGGTGGAAGGGCTGCGAGAGGGCGTTTGGCCACACCCCACTCAGCCCTTCCACCAATGACGTTGGCAGTTACCGCCCGCCTCTAGTCATCGTGCCCGTTGCTTTCAAGAAACGAGAGGATAAATCCGGTAAATCAAGGGCAAAAACAGACATTCTTTTTATTTCCTAGTTTATTGTTTTATTATTTTTCTTTTTTTAGCATGGAAAGCAACTGTATTACCTTCATGGACTTCGTGCTGAAGTGGAGA